CAAATCAGCCGGTGGCACGGGCTGTGGCTGGTGGCGGCGGTTCGGCCCGTTTTCCTGCCTGCAGGGCCAGGTCCTGCTTGTCCGCTTATTCCCCACTGGCGGAAGGCGTCTGGGAGGTCCATACCAGCAAAACATGGGAGAACAGCCATGGCAGCGAATGGAGCGATGGAGATACCGACACAATGAACTCTTCAATATGGGTATGAATGAGCCAGCAGGAAAGTTAAGAACCAAAAGCAGAAGATCGACACTAAGAGCCTTAGTCTGGCTCACTTTTGCATTTTTCAAGATTTTTCCTGTAGAATGTACCATTTGATACCCATTTGGAGAATTTTTAAAGGAAGTTTGGAAGTGCTCCCCTGCTGTCCCAGCGCCAGCTGCAGCCATCACTTGGCAAGGGGGCGAGGTCGTGGGGGGCTGCAATGGAGGAGAGGTGAGGGTCCGGCCCGGCAAGCCCACAGGCAGGGTGGAGGCTGGAAGACATGGAAACATAAAACAGCGCGAGTCAGGAGGGGCATCCCAGAGCATCTAGTCTGACCCCCAACTCTGCTCATGTCACACCCACCATGTGCATGTCCAGCCTGTCCTTGGACACCCTCACCAATGGGGTCTCCGCCACCTCCCGGGGAAGCCCATTCCATACCCTCGGGGTCCCGACTGTCAGGAAGTGCTTCCTGGCATCCAAATTGAACCTGGGTTCCCTGAGCTTTGCTCCCTTGGAGCGCATCCTGCCTCCTCTGCAGGGGAGAACAGGTCTCTCCCCACCTCCGTGTGACACCCCCTCACATACCTGCATGTCTCCAACAGTCCCCCCTGAGTCTCCTCTTCTCCAGGCTGAAGAGACCCCTTTCCCTCAGTCTCGCCTCATACGGCTTCCCCTGCAGACCGGCCACCAGCCTTGTGGCCCTGCGCTGCACTGACTCCAACCTGGCTGTAAAGACCTCCGTAGTTAACTTTCCATTGTGCGGAGAAGACCTTCCTCCTTCATTCATCATCTTTAGATCCTGCCTTTTTCCTTACACTGAACTCAGGGCAGGCTCAAAGGCTGAGTGGGGACCAGAACCCAGGTCCCCCGAGTCCCGGCCCCATGCCTTTCAGCATCACACTACACGTAACTCCCCTCCTCCTCCTCCCCCCTTTCTTGTCCCTGCTTGGGCACGAGGAAGCCCACCGGCCACTCTGAGCTGAGCCCAGATGAGGTCCTTGGGGGCAGCGGGCCTGGCACAAACCCCAGGATGCCGCGCACTGCTAGGTCAAGTCAAGGACGCACGAGCTGAAGCAAGGCAGAAGGACGCATCCCCCCACAAGCCCTGAACCAGCTCTCTCCAGTTCTTCTCAAAACGAGGGGCTCGATAATTAAAGTTAATGGCTAATTGTATTGTGTTAATTAAACTGAAAATGTCATACAACAGCTTGAAGGGGACCAGATATTGTATAAGCCTTAATCCATCATCTTTATGTGCTCCGGAAACTGGAACAAGAGAGCGGGAATTTTCATCATCTTTTTTTTATTGATTTGTTGATCTTATGGTAGAGTGAAGCACCCAGGGAAGTGCTCATAATTAAACAAACTCTAATGGTCTCGGGGCAATAGCATTTGCATGATCCCCGCTTGATGCGGATGTTACTTCACCTTGGTGTTGTGACTGCCACAGAAAGGGAAGGAGCAAAGCGCCGCCACTCCCGGTGCGATCTGGCATCTCCTTCGTGCCCGGAGCACCGGCTGCCTTCAGGCCGAGGCAGGAAGACGGGGCGCGATGGGCCTGCCGTGCCCCCCGCCAGTTCCTGGTCAGGATCTAGGGAATTGCGCTTCGTTTCACTAATCACACAAATATACGCAGCCTGCCGTCGCAGGCAGGGCTGGATTTTCCCTGAAACTGTTCTCAAAGGCGCGCTGCGCATGGAAAACATGCGGCTGTCTCAAAATGCGCACCCTTCCCGGAATGCGTTCTCAAAACACGCAACGGCTTTACCGCCCATATTGGAGCGAACGGGCAAAACCGAGCAGATTTGGGAACTGGTAGAAACGGGGGCCCCGCTGGTCCAGTGCACCCGCTCAGCGGCCCTTCGCGTTGCACACGGTTTCCGTTCGTGCAGCATCAGCTGCAACTGGAGGTGTGCGCATGGCCTGAGCAATGCCTGGGGCGGGGGCGGGGCGGGGTGTAGCCATGCAGCACCCATCACTCTGAGCCCAGCCAGTGGCCAAGTTGGCTGTGGATGGTGGACGTTTCAGTCCAGTCCATCTGCAGGGTTCCAGGTGGCTGAAGTGCCAGGACTCCTTCTGGATCAGAAGCTCTTTCCAGTGTCCTTCCACAGCCCGGGCTCAGGTGAGCTGGCCGCTCCCTTGGCACTGAGCAAAGGAGATTGGGTCTAGGACTGACCGGTTGGATCGCCTTGCGGTCCAAGGGACTTGCAGGAGTCTCCTCCAGCACCACAATTCAGAGGCCTCGATCCTTTTGCGCTCAGCCTTCCCTATGGTCCAGCTTTCACAGCCATACATTGCAACTGGGAAAACCATCACCTTCACTAGACGCACTTTTGTCGGCAGGGTGATGCCTCTGCTGCCTAGTAGGCAGGGTCCTGAAGCAAAACAGAAAGCGATCGATGCATCGGTCAGCGGTGCACCCCAGCATCCACGAAGGCCGTGGGGCACAGCCCTCCACCTCCGTGGGCAGCAGGGGTCCAGGCAGAGGCGAGGGCCTCCCCTCCAGAGGCTGCCAGCTGCTGCTTGCAGCAGGCGATGACTGGAAAAGCAAGAGGTCCTGCCAGAAGGCAGCTGCCTCTGTTGCTTGGATCCCACATACCGGGAAAATAGGCACCCTTGCTTTGCGTCTAAAGGGCCTCTCTTATTTTGCTAAACCACAGAATGAGGGTGCACGGGAAAGCAGGCAGCGTGCCTTGCTCACGTCCCGCAGGGATGTGTGTGTGAGCAAGATGTGATTGCTCCAAGTTCTCCAAATTTCGACCCCAAAGCTCTTTCTGCTGCTGTGTGTGTGTTTGTGTGGTTTTCGCACGAAGAAGCGTGTTTTGTCTGGCATGTTTTTGCAAATCTACGCATCAGCTGCGCACATCTTGGAAGTGTGCACGTTGCCCTCCCGACGGTTGTGGCATCTTTGTGTGTGTTCTTCAAAAGCTCGTCTTATTCACACACTGTTTTCAAAGTTGTGCACTTTGTCACAGGCAGGCTGCTCGTTTGGAAATGTACCTTCTGACTGCAGACTGCGTTTGAGACGAATCCTGAAAATGCAGACTGGGTTAAACCCTGACCAGGAATGAACGGAAATGAATTCCTCCTGCGTGCTCAACGGACTGGCTATCAGCAAGCTTCGCTTCGCTTTGCTGAATTCCCTTCTGTAGGCATTAGACTTGGGTGTCACTTTTGGCTCCCCACCTTAGACAGTAGAATTAGTTCCTCATTTGCTTCCAAAAGTTTACATTTGTTCAGCTATTTGTCCATTTCTCTCTAACCTCAAACCACATTTCCAGAGCCATGAAAACATTTCTAATTAAGAGCAGAAGCATATGGAAACAAGCAGCTAATTAGATCCCAGTTCTGCTTCCCCGCCGCTCCTCTATCAAGCTGATCTAATTTTGACACTGCAAAGCTGATCAGCAAATGGTCTATTAAGTTAAAGGGGAAGCTTTCTGGTTCGTGGAGGTGCATTGATTTCCCCTTATAGCTCATTCGAATGGCTGTTTAGTCCTCTTCCAGCTGGGCAAACATTAGAAACTTACAACCTGTGGCATACGGTGCGTGTTTATATTTATGTCTCGAAAGAACGAGGTTGTGGCACTTCAAGGGGAGACGCCGGAAGTGAGGTCTTTAATCATTCATAAGCAGCCATTTGCTTTGGTTCTCTTCTGATGGATTGAGGTGTTTGGCTTATTGGTATTGATTTACATAAGCCCCGCTGTGTGGCGTCTTCGGGCCAATTTGTATGACCACCGGGATGGGATTGCTTGGTGGGAACCACTCGCAAATCATGCGCTCGCCGGAGCTGCCCGTGGCAAGTGCAGAGGAAAAGGCATCAGTTGGTAGGTCCCTGGGTGTGGCTGGGACAGAAACATCCCATCCGAATGCCAGAAGTCGCCCGGGGCTCTCCAAGACTGGGGGAGAACCCGACCGTGAACTTCCAGATTCCGCGGAACGTGAAGATTGCTCAGTTATCCTTCTGAATTCACACTTCTCCAAATTTGCAATTGGTTTTGCTCATCAATCCGTGGGAACAAAACCAGCAATATTTAAAATAATGTTCAAAATGAGACTGCACGAGGGAAAATGTTTGCAAAATAGAAGTACAATGCTTATTTATTTTATAAATTATATTTATAACCCACTTTGTACGTTCAGGGATCTCAAAGTGGCGCACAGATCCCTCGTCCTCCTCTCAGTCATCCTCACAACAACCCTGTGAGGTAGGTTAGGCCCAGGGAGTGGCCCAAAATCACTCCGTGACCTTCATGGTCGAGTCGGGACTGACCTCCCAGATCCTGGCCCCGCACTCAGGAGGCCAAACTGCATACAAAAATGCGCACATTAGGGAAAATGTGGGCGTGCATCATTTTCATGTACATATCAGCATCTTGAAGTTTGGGATGAACTGAACTGAAGTCTGGGAAAGTGAGAAATTGAGAGAAATTGAAAGTGACAGATCTGTCCATTCCTGGATGCTCTTTTCGGTTGAGCTCGTGAAATATGCAAAGCCTCTCTTGGCCGGGCAAAGGAAGTTACGGTCCCTACCTACCCACTTGGATCTGCATAGAGCCGGGGGCGGCTGCAGAGGGGTGTGGCATGGACGGGCTGCCGTCAGAGGGGCAGAGGGAGAACGTTGCTACGGTTTGGCATCGGTTGGAATTAAAGTTGTGTTTTCAGACGGGAAAATCTTGAGGCTCCGTAAACTGAAAATGGACGTGAGAGTGTCGGGGGCAGAGAAGGGCTCCCACTGCGGACCGGGCTGCCTGCGTCAAAGCACCGCAAACCTCTGTCCTGCTGCACTGCCATGGCTCGCTTGACATTTGGGGAGGGGACTGCCGAGGCCCGGCTCCGGAAGCCCCTTGGCTTCCCTGCGAGCACGCGCCTGCAGCCAGGCTGGCTGCTGGAGTGGGATTTTCCGCCCCACGACGTGAAGCACTCCGAGCATCCTTCGTGGCTGCAGGACGAGGACGAGGGACCGATGGGGCCAGATAGCTCCTCGCTGCGGACAGCTTCCCGGCACTCATGCAGCCGCCCGGATGGCAAGAGTCCCTCTGAGAGCCACCGGAGCTTCGCCCCCTGAAGTCAGGCGCTGGGCTGGCCCCGAGCCAGGCCTGCGTCCGGTCCCCCTCCCTGGCCAGGGTCAGGGTCACATCCTGGGAGGATGTGGTGTGGAAGGGGCATTCAGAGGGAGGCCTGGGGCCAGGTGGCCACGGCGGAGGAGCCCAGCAGCAGGGTGGAGGACGGCCGCGGGAGAGGGCGGCCCAGCGGCGCTGCAGCAGGTTGCGGGAGAGGGAGGAGTGGGGGGCCGCAGTGGAGCTGCAGTCGTCTGTGGGGCACTCGTGCGGTGCCCGGGGAGAGGCGGCTGCGTACCGGCTGCTTGCGCGAGGGCGTGGGCAAGGAAGGCGTCCTGGGGGCTCGAGCCTCGCGATGGGGAACCGTGGGCAGGAAGCCAGCGGGGGAGCAGAGCGGGGCCTGCTGTCCACAAACGGATGCTGACGCACCGGCTGCTCTGGGGTCGCTCCTGCCTTCCTCGCGCTGGCTCTGCTCCCCCCGAGAAGAGCCCCCCATGGCGTCTTTCCTGCCATGCTTGCTGGGTGCAGCGAGACAAGGGGACGCCCTCCAGCCCACATGCCACACCGCGTGTTCCATAGCACGTTGCCCAGCTAATCCCGGGCAGCGTCTCTCGGGAGGAGCTGCAAGGATGATTATGCGTGAGGGTGGGAAGGAAGTGACATTTCCTGTCATGCCGTCGTGCGAGATCCCCTGAACCGTAAACCGCGAAGCCAAGGCGGCAACAACAGCAAACGTGATCCTCTTGATTGGGGAGCGCGGCTTTGATCTTTGCTGCCGCCTGACTCAAGTGTTTGTCTCAGCCCAATTACGTGGTCTGCTTTGCCACTGCAGCGAGGAAGGGTTGGGCTGAAATGCCAGCAAGGACGCATCACCAGAGCGGCGGCCGAGCCACTGGCGGGCGGAACGAAGCAGGTGGGGGCGCCTGTGCTCCCCCAGGGCAGCTTCCTCGCCGGGAGCCGGCCGACGGAGACGTCTGTGAGGCCTGCGGCTGCGTGGGGGCCTCTTTCCTGGGCAGCCTCTCCAAAGGCAGCCAGCCTGGGCAGAAGGGGAATGGTGGTCCCAGAAGGATGCCCTGTGCACTGCCCCGCCCCACAGTTGCAATGCGCTTGGCCCAGGCAGGGGTCCCCAGACTTTTTCCAGTTCACTGTCCCTCAGACTGTTTTGGATGCACTCTGCACATTAAAATGAATGGATGCACTCTGCACATTAAAAATTATTAAATTTAAATAAATTTAAAAATTAATTAAAAATTAAAACATGTTTGCTTGCTTGCTCGGAGAAAGCCACGGCTTTCTCCAAGTAAGCCGCTCCAGCTCAGCCTGTCTGCCCTGGACTTGGCGAGCTGGCGGTGGCAGCTTGCTCCCTCAGAGAAGGCTGCGCTGCCTGGCCTCCCCCGGGCTCACATAATTAGAAATAAATTTTAAAAGTTATATTGTTCTTACCTTCTATCCTTTTTTAGTTTCTTCGTCTTTGTCCTCGTCTCTCTGTCTCTCTTCCACCCACCTCTCTTCTGTTTCCCACTCCGTATTTCCACTCTGGATATGTGTGCAATGGGGGCGTGGGGGAGCCGGCGCACACGCAGTTGAGCTGTTGCAATTTGGTGCATGCGCCGACTCTCTGCTCAGTTTCTGAGAATGCCTGCACTGACTCAGAGCTTTCGGACTAGCTCGGAGATCGTTTTCTCTGAGCGAGTCCAAAACCTCTTAGGTGGGCCGGATAAATAAGCATGGCGGTCCGGATGTGGCCTGTGGGCCATAATTTGAGGACACATGGCCCACGGCATGCTGACATAATTGCTGAGCTCTGCTGCACAACAGAGATGAATCTGTTGTGGAAATAAATTCGGAAGGTTCCCAGAAGAGCTTCTCGGAAGGGAGCTTTCGAACGTCCTGGGAGGTGGCAGAACGGGGGCCAGGACTGTTTGATCAGCATCCACAAGTGATGAGCTGGCAATCAGGCACCTCAACTGGCCGTCTCCATGCAGGCAGCAAAGGCACAGATAGAACTTGGCACAGGTAGAACTTGGTCTTTCAAAGCTGCCTCACTGATTGCGAGGCCTGTCGTCTGCCTCGCATCAGGCGCATTTGCACAGGGAAAATGTGGGCTTTATGAATGCCTTTTCCCCACTGGCTGCTCACGGACAGGCCTGGATTGCATGTGGAGTATTTGCACAGATTCAGAGCTGTGGGGATTCGCTCTGCCCCGAATGCCCCCCCCCCCCCCCCCGGTAGGCAAAGTCCTGAAAAATCTGTTCTTTTCACACGTGAGCCTATGATGGGAGCTTTGTTGGTTGGCTTTTGGTCTTTAATGCATTTTTCCATGACTACCTTTCTGTAAAATTAAAAGAAAAGCAAACCCATAGAATCCATGTGACTTGGGAAAAGGTGGTTTACAGTGGGTTCCACAGGTCGGGTTCCAAACACACTTGTGGCTCTTGTAGATTTCCCCAACACCCTAATTGTGGCCGAGCACTGAATTTGCCTCCTCTTTTTCAAGCACCTTAGAAACACAGAACCAGAGCAAGCCAGAAGGGGCCTCCCGGGCCATCTAGTCTGACCCCCGGCTCCAGCCGGCTGCACTCACGACTTGCCCGCCATGTGCATGTCCAGCCTGTCCTTGAACGCCCGCTCCAATGGGGCCTCAACCACCTCCCGGGGAAGCCTTCCCAAAGTTCATTTCGTGCTGCATCTTAACCTTGTACTTTATTTATTATTTATTTATTTCATAAACTTCTATGCTGCCCCATTCGCCGAAGCCTCGGGGCGGCTTACAACAATAAATAAATACATATAATCATATAAAAACAATATAATTGGAAACGCCCTGGCCAAAGATATAAAATTAATAAATAAGCTAACAATTAAAATGCTGCTTAAATAAAATAATATTTGTCATTTGAGCTGCCCCGAAGTATGCAAGTCTGTCCTGGCTTTCTGTGGCTGAACGTTCCTCTGGAGTCTGTGGAATAAGCTGCACCATCTTGCCTGGAATACTTCTCTCTCCCCTTCGCGTGGAATCCTGGCATCTCCACGGCACTGCGATGCAGGCGGTGGGTTTTTAAGCAAGAGGACACAGCTGAGTCTGGATGCCCTACAGGGGGATCAAAGGAACCCCCCTCTTTGTGCTCTCCCTGGAAGGCGTTCCAGGCATGGGCTTCCCCACTCCAAAGGGGCTCCAGGAGTTGTTCCAGGGGGGATGCATGAGAAAATGGCTTCAGTTCAAGTTTGAGGAGGCTTTACCCAGTTTGCAAGACCCAGAACAGAATTCTGTGCTCCAAGCTTAGATATTTATGAGCCATGATGCTCTTCCTGGGACTAACAAAATGGGTTGGATAACTTTGTACTCATGGAAAGTGCACGTGGAAAAAAATTGCGCGTCTGTGCGCATGTGGAACCGTGAGCACCAGAAGACACCTGCATGTGAACTGAGCCAGGTTAGCTGGCCGTCTGATTTGCGCTTGGTGCGGGACGAGCCTCAGCCTGGCAAAGCCGGCAAAACGTCTCCATTAGGGGAAAAGTGCCCCAAACCAATGATGTCATGGGTCCCCTTCGCTCGGCACTGGTCGGGCCTCACCTGGCGTCCTGCGTCCAGTTCTGGGCACCGCCGTTAAAGAAAGATGTGGACAAGCTGGAAAGGGTGCAAGGGAGGGCAGCGAGGGTGATTCCGGGCCTGGCAGGCAGAGCCCTTCGAGGAGTGACTGGGAGAACCGGGCATGCTCAGCCTCAGGCGGAGAAGACCGAGGGGAGGTGGATAGCGCCCTACAAGAACCTCACAGGCTGCCCCAAAGAGGAAGGGCAAGGCCTCTTCTCGCTCATTCCAGAGTGCAGGACACAGAATAAGGGACTCAAGTTAGAAGAAAGCAGATTTAGATGAGACACCGGGAGGAACTTCCTGGCTTCAGAGCCGTACGACAACGGAGCCTGTGGCCTGGGGAGGTTGTGGGCTCTCCCTCGCTGGAGACATTCAGAAGGCGCCTGGACAGTCACCTGGACGGGATGGCGTGACTTAGGGCCCTCCACCGAGCAGGGGGCTGGACCCAGGGGCTTGTCGCCCCCCCCCCCCCAAGCTCGGTGATCCGATGAGGTTCTTCCCAGAGCGGTTGCCCCAGGAGTCCTGGCTTGCCCCAGTTCGAGCAGGGCAGTCCTGGCTGGAGGCGTGGGGCCATCCCTAGATCTTCCCCTGCAGGGACGCCTTTAAAGGTGCTTTAGACTCAGGGCAGGGCCACCGAATGAGAAGGACGGACTCCCTGGAGAAGAGCCTGATGCTGGGAACAATTGATGGCAAAAGGAGAAGGGGCTGGCAGAGGATGAGGGGGCTGGATGGAGTCACTGGGGCAGTTGCTGTGGGCTTGGATGGACTCCGGGGGACGACGGAGGGCAAGAAGGCCTGGGGAGTGTTGTCCATGGGGTCGCGATGGGTCGGACACGACTTCGCGACTAATGGCAACAACAGACTCAGGGCAGACCTAGTAGCTGGCCAGGAGCTTGTAGACTGCCATGGACTGAGAACTTTTCATTTGTCTGTTTAAATTCGGTGGAGAACATACTTCTAAGTTTCTTCTTGCTTCGATGCCACAATAAGCTTTCCCACTGCAAATACATTGTTTCTGTAGCATGGGAGACACTCAGAAAGGTTCTAGCTTGGCTGAGAAGGAACTCTGGATGCCCGGGACTTCGGTCCGGGCTGTGCTGTGGATGTTCCACCCCGGAACGGAGCTCTCTGGTGACATTAAGGCTTCCGGAGGCCTTTCTTCGGTTGCACATCGCTTGGCTCTGCAACCTAAGGCAGCCCGTCCCGTGGAGGCGACGGGGTTTTCCGCGCCAGCTTTGCAGAGTGAAGAACAGGATGGGTCCCATTGTGCCGACTGCTTAATTTTATTGTCCTCATTAAAGCGCTTTGCTTGCGTAACGAGCAAGATAATACATTCCCAGCAAAATATGCAATAAAACAGGAACAATAATGAAAAGTTAATTTTTGTAAATTAAGACCAAAATATCTTGAGTTAAAATTAAAAAGTGAAAGCTTCCTTCGGGGGGTTCTTGAAGATTAATAAAACTGTGATGGATGTGCTCCCTTCGGCTCGCTCGCTGCAGGCGAGGGAACTGTGGCGCACCGAGATTCCCACCTGCAGGAGCTCGATTATCCTGTTTTGGGGAGGCACATCTGCCCGGGCATGGGGGCTCCTGTCCCCCAGAGCCAGGAAAGGGGATCGCTCTGCCCAGGGGGGAGGTGGTGTCTTTACAGGGCCTGCAGTGGAAGGGCCACCCAGAACGTGCGGCTACTGGCCAGACGAGCCGAGCTGGAGGGTTGGGTGTTCGGCTGCGTGGTTCTGCATCCGGGCCCTGCTGGCGATGCCCGACTGACTGCTGGGGTCCCCTCCGCCAGGAATGAGCAGCTGACGAGGGCCAAACCGTCCCGCAGCACTTCCGGCTTTTGTTCAGGCCTCCAGACACCCGCCGCACACGTTCCCAGGCACCGCACCCCACCCGCAGCCCCCTTTTCCACACCGGCGCACCCTGGCAGGCGAGTCCCATGGGGTGAGGCCCGGTGCCAAAGGCCACCGGCGGTGCCTCACGGACCTCTCCTCCTCTCCTGCCACGGCCCAGGAGGAGGCCACGGCAGCGAGCTGCATTAACAAACGCGCAGCGCCCGGCGCGGAAGGGCCGTTTTGCCCTTGGGTGGGTGGCGTTTGGGTGCTGCGTCCTGTTCTGGGCACCCCTTTCAGGAAGGACAGCAGACGGGGAAGGGGAAGGGTCCAGGGAGGGGGAGCCAGGAGGGGGAGGGGGCTGCGAAGCGCGACCTGGCAGGGAGCTGGGCAAGAGCAGGTGCCCGGGAGGCTGGAAGGTGGAGCAGGCATGTTCTGTGTGGCTCGCGAGGGTGGGTGGGGACCGATGGAGGGAGCTCGCGGGGAAGCGGACTTCGGCCGAGCTCCTGAGCCTGAGCGGAGGCAGCAGTGGGACAGGTTGGCTTGGCAGGAGGCCCCTTCTCCTTCCCCGGATGCGCTTGAGCAGAGACCGGGAGCGCGAGCGTCGGGGAGCTGCCGCTGCCTCCTCCAGTGCAGAGCAGGGCCTGCGTGACGCAAGGGGCTGGACTAGATGCCCTCCGCGTTCCCCGCCCACTCCATGATGCAGCGCTTCTCCATGGGCAGGAGGGCTTCTGCGCCCCGCAGGGCCAGGGACGGACCCAACCAGACTCGTGTGGCACCCTCTGAGCTCCTTCCCAGCGCGATCCCGCAGAGGATATTGCAGCTGTCTGCCCCCGGGGGCCGGGGTGGGGGGCCGTTGGTCCTCCTGGCTCCGCCCGGCAGCGATGTGCTGTGTGCCCCCAACCTGGTTTTGGCTGCTCCCTGCCCCCGGCCGCCGGGCCAGGGGGTCTGAGGGTGCGAGTCGCAGGCCAGCAGCGTCGGCAGGCCGCCCCTTCCGTGCTCCGGGGGGGCCCCGGCGGGGTGCAGGGGTCGGTCCCCTGCCGTGGTCCCAGCCCACGGTTCTGCCGGGTGCTGCTGGGGCGCCCGGCTCGGGGGCTCGGGGCCTCCGTCGCCGGCCCCCAGCAGCCGTGCCCGCGCGGGGGGCGCCCTGGGGCCGGGCCGCGTGGGTGCTGAGGGCGTGGGGCAGGTGTGGGCCTGTGGCTGATGCGCTTTCTCCCGGTCGCTCTTCCAGCCCCGCCCACGGTGAGGATCACCCACTCGGGCCTGGCCTGCAACATCGAGGAGGAGAGATACTCGGAGCGCGTGTACACGATCCGCGAAGGGGAGACGCTGGAGCTGACGTGCTTGGTCACCGGCCACCCTCGGCCACAGGTGAGCCCCTGCTGGGACGCGCGGCTCCGCCCCACCTTCTCCTCCGCGGGGCCTTCTCGCTCCCCCCGGCTGTGAACGGACGGGCTCCCCGTTCGGGGAGGGGGCTACTGAGCCCACGGTGGCTGGGGGGAGTCCCTTGGGAGCCCCTCCGCCTTGGTGCCTTCCCCACTTGGTGCCTTCCAGATACTTTGGACTACGACTCCCAGCATCCCTGCCCATTGGCCAAGCTGCTTGAGGCTGATGGGGGCTGCAATCCAGGACATTGCATTGAAGGGCACCAAGCTGGGGAAGATTAAGAGTCACACGTAATATTAGCATAATGATGATCATGTGGATGAAGATGCCCTGTGTAAAGAAGGACAGACAAGACCCACGCCTGGCCCTACTCAGACCGGGTAGAAAGGCACGGGGCGGGTGGGTTGTGCAAACGGGCGCAGGGGCGGAAAAAGAAACCACTCACACAGACTGAGGTGGTGTTGGGGGTGCACACGCCCTGTAATTGGCAATCATCGTTCTTGTTTGCGAGCAGCACGTTCAAGCTAGGAAAAGAGACCCCAGAATCAGAGAGGGTTTCGAACGGGACTCGGTGCATTTGGCAGCATTTCTCAGATACGGGATTGTTCCTCCCCGACTGGTGGCGTGAAGAGGATCTGCTTTTTCGGCATCCGTGCTGTTGCTCTGGAGGATGTGTGTCTGACCGTTCATCCCGTCTGGAGCAGTGAACTGGGGAAGGGCCGGGCAGCGTCCAGAGACATGCGTGGTGCGTGGCTGCCCGTGAAGCCAGACCGGCGGTTCTCCTGGACCGTCAGGGCGGGCGAAGGGGCAGCGGGGAGCAGGCACCGGCCACGGTGGCTCTGCAGGCCGGGCTCTGCACGTCTTGGACGTGGCTGGTGCGAGGCCTCTGGTGCATCCCGGGGCTGAATTCGGTTTTGGAGAAAGACTAGCAGGCGGGCACGTGTTCTGGCCGTCCGGGGAGGGGGCGATGGATCAGCAGACCCCAGGTTCTCAAGGCTGCCCCAATTCCATCGTGAGCACAAATCAGATTGTGAGCAGCGTGCATTTTTATGTGCCTTTTTCCAAATCTATCCAGCAAGTTTGCCTTTGGCCCCTTCCCAGTTTGCCATCTCCTGGCACCGGAATGCCGCTTCCAAGGGGGCGGCGCGCAGCCCTTGGGAGAGCTGGCGTGGCCTCTCTGGGGTCGCGCGGTCTGGGTCGCGCTGGGAGCAGCTCTGGCCGGGCGGCACGGGCAGCGCAAGGCCGAAGCGCTCGGCTTTCGCTGGAGCTTGAGCCTGGGGCCACGGGCGCTTCCGACAGGCGCAAGCCGTGTGGACTTTGCTCCGAAGTGATTCCTCAGGCCCCCCTTGTTTCCAAGTCCCTTTGCCCCGTGGCCCCTGCTCTTTCTCTGCCGGACGGGCCTGTCGGCTGCAGCGCCAGCCTTGCCCTAAATCACAAGAGGCTCGTGGGCAGATTTAAAGGCTGCCAAATTCCCCGTGCCATGATAAATCCAACACCGGCAGCGTCCTTATAATTGTCGCCGTTCCCATCCGGGTGTCTCCCTCCTGCCTAGACGTGCCCCAAACGGCTCACAACACGGCAGCGGTTCTTATCCAAACTTCATGGCAGGAAACGGCTTCACGCTGATTCATTTCGAGCCCTAATAGAGCAGCTCAATCAAACAGTTCATTTCGGTTATCATGACATTATCGCATTTTAAATTCATTACAAAATAGGCCGTATCAATCATTAAAATACAACACAAGCCGGGGAGAGATATAATAAAACTTTTCGGCGCAGGCAGATATTACTAAAATAACATAATTAGCCGCAAATTTCTCAAAAGCGCAGGAAATAGTAGCATTACCTTGTACAGCAGCAAGCGTCAAAGGAAGTCTGGTGCAGCGGTATTGGCCTTAGCCCTCCGTGCAAGGATAATCCCGGATAGTACAAGATTCCTCTGAACTGTGCCCACCCGAGGAAGAACTCGGGGAGCGGGGAGCTCCCCGTGCCCAGCCCTCCAGCCGCTTCAGCGAGTGACGGTCACGCAGGACTCGGTTCCATCCCGTTGCTGCAAAAGAATTCTCTACCCCAGGGCCTTTAACCTGCCGCTCGCAGAGGCTTCTGCTTCTGCGCCCTTTGCAGGTTTCAGACTGGCCCCTTTACACACGCTTTTCCCTGGGGTTTTCCTTTCTCTGCCTTCCATTCTGCAAAAGCAAGGTGGAGAAAAAGTGCAAAAGCACACAAACTGCTTCTGGTGCTGTTCCAAATAAATTCTGCCGTGCTTTGCACGAACAACAGCAACAGCAGCCCTAAAAGGCCACTGCAGAGCAACGGAGAGACCCTGGAGGATGGTGGGCATCATGGAAAACACACTCCGACCACCATGGGGAGGAACCACAAGAGAATAATCTTCTTGCGAAAGAAAGCTCTTGACCTGAGGGTTTTTAAAATGCGTTTTCTCTCAGACACCCTAATTAACGACCTCTCAGCTGCCCGCAAGGGATTTAAACCGCTGAGGATGGCATCTGCAGCTTCCGGGCGCTCAGCCTCCGCTAGAGGACTGCTCCCCGATGCACCTGGCTTGGATCAGTGTGCCCCATAGCAGCAGGAATTCTTGACGACTGGCTCGTCGTTCCCCAAAGGGCTTCTGCTATGCTGCCGGAGCCAGTGCGGGTGCCTGGAAGTATTTCAGGTAGTGTCGGAAGAGACTCCCTCCGGGAGTCAAGGAGAGACTCGGCCGCTCTGCCGTCTCTTGGCAAACAAGCGTATCTCCTCTCGCAAGCTGTGCGGTGCGCGTTCTCCTTTCAGATCTCTATTTTCTCATCTTGCATCCTGGAAGGAAAATTGATTTCTGCTCGTGTTACCAGTTTATGGACTTCTGCCCACGTCTGCTCGCAGGCTGCCATCTCTGCTTTTCTGCCCTCCCCGCCCCGCACCACTGTTTTCTCATGACCCTCAGCAAAGCGCAGGGAAATGCTGCTGTTCTGCGGGGTGGGAGGGATTGCCGTGGGAAAGAGCAGCTGCTGAGGATGAGGGGTGGGCCTGGCAGGGGGCCGAGGGGGCTGAGGTTCCACTCGAGGAGCCGCCGGCCCGGCTCTCTCTGCTCCGCTCAAACACCCCGGCCTTCCCCGAACACCCCTGGGGCAGCCCATCCCCTTTCCCTCCCACAGCTCTGCCCTCCACCTCGCGGGGCTGTTCTGAGGGGGGCCAGAATAACCTTCGGTGCACCAGAAAGAGGAAGTAGGATTGAATATGGGACGTGCATCTTGGGTCCGCGAGTTCCTGTTTCCCGCACAGCCCACGGCGGCCTCGGGCGAGCGGCTTGCTCAAAAGCAGCACGCAATGGCTGCAGAAGCGCGGAGTGGCCCGAGGTGTCGCGGAAAGAGCGGGGGGCGGGGGCCACCCCCAACCAGGCCCGCTTCCGTGTGGCCACATGACGCGTCTTGGCTTGCAGGGGCCCTTGGAGCGGGACCCCAGGGACGATCCTGCAGAGGCCTGGGAGGGGCGCTGAGCTGCTAGCACCCCCGCGCTCAGGCACCAAGCAGCCACAGGCCTGCTTAGCTCAGCCAGTCGGCCGCATCCAGCGCCGCCTGACCGTGCCGGGGGCCGTGCGCCGCGGGGGCTCGGCTGCTGTGGAGCGCAGCCTGCACGGTGCCTTCGAAGCCAGTGGAGACCCTCTGGACCCACCCGCTGGAAGGGCTGCCCGCCCCCTTCCTTCCCATAGCATGTCTCGCAGCCACATCACAGGCAGAAATTCCACAGGTGTTCCCCCGCATTACACACAGGTACAGTTAAGAGAGAGGCTGAATCTGCTGAATTTCTGAAAGTCGCGGGCAGAAGGATTAAAGGAAAGATGGCTTGGCTCCACTGGAGCTGTTCAGAAAGAAGATGGGCGGCCACCTGCGTGAGATGGTGTGACTTGACGTCCTGCAGCGGCAGGGGAAGCGCAGAAGCAGAGCGAGGCAGAAGGGGCCTCCGGGCCATCTAGTCTGACCCCCGGCTCCAGCTGGCTCCGCTCACGACACGCCCACCATGTGGACGTCCAGCCTGTCCTTGAGCACCTGCACCGATGGGGCCTCAACCGCCTCCCGCGGAAGCCCCTGGCACGAGAAGGACCCGATGGCCTTCTGGCCCCTTCCAGCTACCCCATTCGGTGATTCTGTGAAGCTGGGGTGGCTGATGATACGCAGCAGCAGCGACCAGCGACCCCAAGCCAGGGAGGGTAGAGGGAAGGAGCAACGTGGGTGTGTGCAGAACGGTGGAGACCGCATTCCTCCTGCCAGTGTGAGGAGCACGTGCAAAGCACCGGGCCACAGACGTGCCGGCTTGCGAATCTGGGAGCTCACCGGGCCGTGGAAGGGCTGGGAGACTCCGAATCAGTGCCCCGTTCTGTAACGACGCCCCAGGGGTACCTGCGCGATTGTGTTTAGCAGAGGCACCAAAACTAGATCAATGCCTGTATATTTTGGGGGGTGGGTGGGTGGGTGGGAGGGAGGGAGACTGTTTCCATGACAACTAATGGACCACTTAATGGATGGAATTATCAGCATCTTCCCTGGTGACATGTGCTACGGGGCTGCAAAACAGAAATGTGGCAATTTGCTGAAGTGCGCTACGTGCCGGGCAGTTAATGGCTGGGAGCCGCTGGGGATCCACGGAGAAGAGGAGCCGCGTTGGGGGCAGAGGTCTTGGGCCCACCAGCCAGCGCACCCCGCCCAGGTTGCCGGGCTCGCCCGTGGCGGAGCCGTGAGCGCAGCCCCTCTTCAGCCAGGAACGGCACCGAAGCCGGATCGGGACACTCTGCCTGCCAAACGCCCTACACACAGATGCCGCTATTGCTACAGAAGGGAAGTGGACGCGCGTTCCGGCTCATTTCTCGCCAGGCGTTCTCCAGTCAGCTGGACAAAAGAGCGCGAGTCTCGTTCACTTCCTTGCATTGCTCAGCTTGAAATTTGCTTTTTGGACCAGCACCCTTGATGCATGCCTTTGATGTTATGCATACG